ATAAGTAATTGGTTTGTATAGATCGAAATGACTTGACTGAGATTTAGTCCCCCCTGGAGGGTTCTTCCCCCTACGACCCAGATAAGATGCTCCTTTTCAACATTTTATATTTAGCTTTACAATAACAAAGCTGTAGTCTGTTATGATACGACTTCCCTCTAAATATGTTTACTTTAGCTTGTGTACATAATGCACTGTTATTCAAAATATATGTACACTTTAAAAGAAAGTAGACATTGCTCTTAAGCGGGTTGTCTTTCCCTATATGGTGCTTTTGTTTTTAAGATTTTTTTTTTGTCTAATTCTTTCTAAATACCTCCATGTCTCTGTCGCGCCTCTTCCAGCTCGGTCGCGTAATTCGATTGCCGCTAAATGTTTATGTTCATGTTATCGAATTATGTCGACATTTTCATTAACAAGAAGCAGCGTGTAGGTTCCTCCGGATAACAGCGTCTGCCAAAAGCCCATTAACGTCTGTCTGACGAGGTGGGACGATGCTACAGAGCGCGCTCTTTAATGGAAAACGATTATTGAATGTGTCTTATGATGACGTATATATATTCTGAGATCAGATATGAACAGCTCAAGCAGCTGCACTCCAACAGTTATGTAAATAGCAATTAAAGAAGACATCCCCTCCTTATCGTACATTACAATTTCACACGTTGTTTTTTCACTATTCTAGACATTACAAGGCGTCAAGAGAATGCCAGCGACGGCTTTTAAGGCGGAATGTCTGCCTGATAACCAACTAAAGTTTGCAGTGGCAGCGACGAGAAATCACACAACGACTCGGAAAGACAAACACATGACGGCAGAGCAGAGCGAGAAACAGACGCCTCCTCATCCCCACGGCCGACTTCATACGTGATACGATCGATCACACAGAAAAGGAGGAAACGAATAAATTAATTAATCTTTAAGAAGTAAAGAAAATATTTTTTAATTAAGCTTGTTCAGAAATATTCAACGCTGTTGCTTCGGGGTCCTTTTCTCGCCTGTGTAACCTGAAGAAAACACATTAAAGCCATGTTTCTAAGACGCTCACCAGGAAGACGATGTTGGTGTTCTGGTACAGAGCTCTGGCCACGCAGATCCGCTGCCTCTGACCTCCACTCAGGTTGATGCCCTGAAACAGAAACAACACAAAATACATAAAAATATAAACAGAACATGAGGACACATTTCACTGCAAGATCAAAAGTGTATTTAAGGATATGAAATTCAAAGTGTTATGTGAAAAAAACCACAATACAAATGTATGTATTAATTCTAACAATCTAATAATGATAAATAAAAGAGGTCGATTGATATGGTTTTATAAGTGTTGGTTATTGGTTAACAAGGGGATTGATCACTGATATTTGGGACTGATATACATTTGCAATAAAAAAATCACGTCTTGGTAACAAAATTTAGAACACAAACTTCAACCAGCAGTGAATTATGAATTAAAGGTGTTTACCCTCTCTCCGATCTCAGTTTGGTCTCCAAAAGGCAGCAGGTCGATGTCGGGCTGCAGAGAGCAGGCCTCAATCACCGCTTTGTACCTGAAACACACAACACCAACGTGAACGAACACGCAAACATTAAAGCGCTCCTGAAACGTTGCTGTAGGGTTTTTACCGTTGCTTGTTGAACGGGCTGCCGAAGGTGATGTTCTCCTCCACGGTGGCGTTGAGCAGCCACGACTTCTGGGCGGCGTAGGCCACCGAGTATCTGTTCTTGCTGGGTGGGAAACAGAGGCAAACCGGGTCAGAACTACAGGTTCTGTGTTCATAAAGCTTCAGAGAGCAGGAAAACTGATCACAGGTCAGTTTCATGACCGCTACGGCTGATTCCTTCCAGTGATGTTTTGGTTAAATCTTTTAATTATGAACTACAGGGTTCATTTAAGGTGAAAGAAAGGCTCATTTTATAGTTATTACCACAACCTGGTGTCACTTTTTTAGGAATTAGACCTTATTCCTTTGTTATAGCGAATAAAAAAGAGCCACAATTTAATATTTTTGGCAGATTTCACATGATGACAATGAAATATCAACCACCGGTGATTCAGAAGATTAGACTTTATGGTCAGTCACTTGCAAGAATGGGGTTTATGTTGGTAAACTGGCAGTTTTTTATTCATATTAACATTTTCTATAAGCGGTATCTGGACTATCTTAATGCAATCGAGCTGTGCATCCATCTTTAATCACTAAAATAACACATTTAAATTGTTTGCTTGACATTTTAGATACAGACAGCTATTTATTCTCTATCATAAGAATGACACTTGGTCCATTTCTAGAACCTACACACTGCTAGAAGAAAACAGCAAAGCTACTACCGGATCAGTTCTCCTGTTCTGATCAGCTTTATGAATGCGGCACCCAAAACACCAAACATGAAAAAACAAAAACGGGAAGAAGAAGAAGAGAGGGAGGATTATGTTTGGAAAAGCTGTCAAACGCCACCGCAATGTGAAAAAAAACCAACAACAGTCGGTCAGATATGAGGGATAGATATGGGTCATGGATCGGGTTAATGATGATCTGCAATAAATCAACACAAGTCACCGACAGCTACAGCAACACAAACACGGATAAAAACATCTACGAACAAAGACGACAACCGCCGTAGCTCTGCTGGGAGTCGAGAGCAAGCCGGCTGAGGAAACCACAAAAACAAAACGACTTTTGAAACACGATCTTAACACAAAGTTGTGTGCTTTGTTGTATTAATATGCAATATGTGCATTTTAAGAACTCTACAGACCTACGTTTTGGATTCTCAGACATCAGTATTAAAGACTCGTGGTGTGATGTGTCTGACTGTATAAAGTTTGAGTTAGTTAATGACTCCCAGCATCAAAAGCACAAACCACTGCAGGATCAGACGACAACATCCTCGATGGAAGAATATGATGGCGAGAAGACAAAACGCTCTAAAGGCTGCTGCTCCCTGAACACACACATATTAACACGACGCTGCAGATTTGGGCTGCAAATAACCTTTATTTTATCTATTAATTGATTAGTTGTTAGGTCTCTAAAATGTCTGTGAAATACGTCGACCAGTCCAAGATGGTGTCCTCAATCGACATATTTTTTCCACAACCCAAATATATTCCGTTTACTGTCAGAGGATGAAAAAAAAATGAAATTATTTAAGAATTTTTATGTTTTTTCTCTTAAAATTTTACCCAAACCAATGAACCAGTTGTCATATATATTTTCATTAATTTTACAGTTTGCAACTAATCAATTAATCATCGCACCTCAACTGGAGATCACAGAAACTAAGACACTTCAGCATAATTAGCTCAAACTGTGGAGGTTCTGAGTGATCAATACCAAAAGACAAAGCTAGAGTTTGGAACTTCAAGAGCAGAAATTCATTTAGAGGAACTAAGAGGTCATTGATTTACTTTTAATCTCTTTCGTAGTCTTCTTGAATTGAGAATTTTAGCAGGTTTTTTTAGGCTATCTGCTCTTTTGCTTTGTGTTTTGTGAAGCATTTTGCGCATTAAAGGTGCTTTAAATATCAATCAAACAATCAAGCTTTGTCTGTATTGCACTTTTCATACAAATAAGATGTAAATCAAAGCGTTTTACTGAGCAAAAGGTAAAAAAAAAATCACTATGTACACTAACAGAACAAGAAACCTGCACTTAAACTAACTGAATATAACTAATACGAACTGTAGCTCATATGTATGTGTTCACGAACAACACAGCCTGACAAGAAATCCTTTTGTTGTGACAAAACAGCACTTTTGTTCTGAATGAGGCAAAGTAACGACCAAAAAAATGGAGTTAAAACTGATGGAAGGAAAAAGGAGCAGAAGGTGAATGAAGGGGTCAAAGGGTCACTTCAGGTCTGAAACAGAAAACAGGAAGTCGGAAGGGGAACGTATACCTCCTGATGTCTTCGTCAGACTCTTCTTTCTCTGACCAACTGTCAAAGTCAGTCAGTGTGTTAGAATCGGAAATCAAACTGAGCGTATATTTATGTTTGTGAGTGGAAATATGGGCTAAAATTTTTAAAAAGACACAGCAGAAGTAGTAGTAAACAGATAAAAAAAGACAGAAAAGCGAGGACCCTTCTTTTGGTGACAAAGAGAAAGAAGGAAAAAAGAGGCACAAACATAGAAACAAACGGAACGTTTCATGACGGTGAAGCCATGGCATTAGCCTGCCAAGTGTTAATCGAATTAACCCTCCCACCCAGAAAAGAAGGGCCATGTAAGTGATGCAGTCATGGTCTGTCTGTGATAATTAGGTTTGGTGGCTTCTTCGACAATGATGTCTCGTATTTTATGCGACTCAGGGTGTGTGTGTAGATGTTAAGTAAGTAAACGCAGTCATGGCGCCTTAATAGAATGAGTCCTTACACAAATACAGACTTAGCGGAAGAAGGTGTCGGAGCAGACGGATAAACCAAAGCTTGTTTTACTAATAGATAGGGCTCCGGTGACTCATGCAGAACAATGTCAACTGTCCTTACAGAGAAGTGCTCTGCCTTTGCTCAACTGCATATCGAAGTATTGCAGGTTAAAAGATGTCATCAAGTTAGTAGTGAAGTCTGTGTGTTGTCGTCTCAACAGTGTTTCAGTTAGTGTATAATTTGTGATCTAAGTTTCAAGACTGCGCCTATAAAAATCCAAAAACTGTGCATGATTTACCGCCATCCACTTTGTGCAGCAACACTCTGCTCCCAGTGCTCCTGCAACGCTTCCCTGGAGGTCTCATTGTGGAAACAGTGTCCAACACCGTCTCCGATGGGAGCAGAAACTCCTAAACTAAACAGCGCTTTTCACAGTTACAAAAACCAAAGATGGTACGTGAGGTCAGGAGCACCAGGAGTTGTTTTCTTCAGCATTGACACAATCATGCATCGGGAATTTGTTCCCCAAGGGTTGGACTACCAAGACAGAGTCCTACTGTAACTTCTTGAGGCGTCTGACCATGAACAATCGGCACAAACAACCTGAACAGTGGCAGGACTGTATAGAGGTGCTTCAGTACGCTGTTTACCCAGTCACAACATGGTCAATGTGCAAGTTTTTAGGCCTTAACACCACAATAGTTGCTTACCATCTGCCCCACTCCCTAGATTTTGTCACCCAAAATGAAGCACAAGTGAAACGGTCACATTAAAAGTGTTGCAGGAGCACTGGGAGCAGAGTAAGATAAGATATGCCTTTATTTATCTCACAGTGGAGAAATTCCGTGTAAATTTTATAGGCAAAGCTTTAAACTTTTTTTTTTTTCTCTCAATTGTACCTCATGTAGTTATTGAAATACTAGTACTTTACTCAGACTTAACCAGTTTTGGGTCCAGTTTTCCCATAAGATATCTTTCAAACATCAATGCCAAGGTTGAAATTATCTGTACTAGACACCTGAGATGCACACATATTGAAAGTAGTTCTGGAGATTTATGGTATAAATATACTGGTTAGCTTAAAAAGGCCGGCAGTTAGAAAGCAAGACAGCAATTTGGCTTGAAGAACAGCAGGTTAAACATCACGACTGGTGGATGGAGTTAAAGTAGTGGATCCAGCATGCATGATTACAACTGTCCACAATGGCGGCATCAGAGTTTCTGTGCTGTCCTGGTATAATATGTAGGAGTCCTATCTGTTCATGGATATGTTCAATTAAAAAAACCAAGCTGTGAAGGTGAGAACAGCCTTCGAGAACATGTTATTAGACTTAAATGTGGATTACTGTGCATGACAGATCACTTACTGGTTACATTGGCCAACAGGTCAATGTCTAAGAACTTATTTGATCTTTTCCTGACTTCTGGAATGTCTTTGAATAACTGAGCCCACGACAGACAGAAAGTGAACCAAACATCAGCAAAATAACATCTTGTCAATCATAATGTGTGTTTCAAAGCTCTCAAATCACACTAAGCTGAGCTGAGAGCTTCACCAAAGCTAAACATGCTGATGTTGACACTTCCTCATCTGTCCAGAGCATTTTAACTGCAGGTATCACAGGAGGTTTACCTGGTTAGACTGGATGGAAGCCGCTGTAAGTAAAACAAATCACCTAAACAGCTAAATCTGAATGTCGACAGTCTGTGTGAATGACAATGGTTTAGAGAGAAGAGACCAGAGAGAAAGTACCTTATGTTCCCCTCGTTGATCACCTCACAATCAGGCAGCCTGATGTGGCAAGAAGGCAGCAGGTAAAGTGATAGAAACCACACACACATACATCCAGAGATGCATTCAGAGGTTAGAGTGCAGAAACAGATGCAGTCCAAGAGTTCAACGCACATTGTAATTGAAGACATGTGCAGGAAGGCAGGAAAAAGATTCAGACTTGGAATTGGAGAAAGAAAGGAAGCCCAATTACTTTAAATCGGTCCCTACGGCACCATGTTTTCAATTCCAGATAATGCCTCAGTGAGGTTTTAGCAAGGCAGAAAATATTGAAAAAACATTCGAAGAGAACAAGTGAGGTAAATAACTCAACCTTAACTGATCAGATGAGCTTTCTGCATCATCACTGAGATACATTTTGCATTAAAATTGACAAATTCTATCAAGCCCATCTCCTGTGTCCATGTCAATAAAACCAATTCTTTTCCCTGGCAAACCTCTGAAATGCACAAAAATGAGACTCTCTTGACAAAAAAGCTATAATTTTATCTTGTTTA